TTTTGAATTTACGTGAAAATTATTTTTTTGGGAGAATTTGAAATTGAAAATGAGTTGAGAAAAATGAATTTTGTAGAGAATGGGGCTCAAACTAGGGCTTAAGTTTTTGGATGTGGTTTTAATGGGCACTTAGTATGAACCATACAAACTCTCCAGGGATATTAGAACTACGTAAACCAAAATAGTCACATGAATATGGTTCTTGTTAAAAACCATTAAAGGAGAATGAGACAAAAAATTAACACCAGCAAAATGCAATATGGTTAACTGCATAATATTTACAGCATTTAATTATGAATTAATTATTTACAGGAGACTCAAAGCAGCCTTAACTAAAATAGATACTATACAGACCTGAATCAATAAAGCTAGTTGTACAATCTTTGTTGACAATCATGGTTGACAATGATGTATTGTGAAAATCCAAATCATTGATACAAAAAATGGTTTTTTATAACTTTTAAAATGAATGGATGTGAGGCTGCCAAATGCATAGTTGTCAAACAATGTTGTCGACGAAAATTGTACAAGTAGCATGATTCGGCCAGAATTTAATACTTTAAATTCCTAAACTTCTGAAGTTCCCAAGCACAGTATGACACAATGAATGAGAAAAAAATTTCTTAACCACAATACCAACTCCAAAGACCAACAAAATGCAATAGAAATCATCTGAAACCAATAGAACTACCTAGGACGAAGACAACACAATGGGATGAATTTAACTTACACCCAACTATGAGGCATAGGATAAGATTTTGCTGGCTCCAAATTTCGACCAACTTCTTGATTATTGTTGCTTGTTCCTGAGCTTGTACTTCCTCTAAGCATTGCCATTAAGCTTCCTCCATGCACCCTACCTTCCGGAAGAGACAAATCATTCAAGCTAGTGCTTCCAAGAGTGAAATTTTCTTGTGGTGAAATTTGCGTGGTAATCATTTGTTGTCCATAACCGTTTGAATCAATCCATGTGCCAATGCGATCAGAAAGATAGCTTCCAGTTGCAGAAAACCCTTTCAACTGGGAAAATGAGCTAGGGTGTAGATTAGAAACCATAGGAACACTCTTGTGCATGTGTTTATCTTGAATTTGTGCACTGTGGGCAACACACAAGCCAGATTTCCCTCTAGCAAACTTGTCACATTGAATGGCATCTTGACCACCAAACTCTGAACCCAACTGTCCCCAAGAGCATCGTTTTCCACCACCATGCGCTTTGCAAAAATCGGAGCTTCCTTGTGCACTCTTTGTACATCCTTCAAACTTGCACCTTTTTCCACCCCCATGGCGGACACAGTAGTTTGTGCGTCCCCTTGCACTCCTAGTACATTTGGGCATGGCACACCTCTTTCCTCCGCCATGATTAACACAAAACACAGTTCCTCCGTGCACGCTCTTGGTGCATCCAACAAATGTACATCTTTTTCCCCCACCGTGGCCTTTGCATAACAGAGTACTTCCTTCTGCACCTTTTGTACACCCCAAAAAAGTGCACCTTCTGCCGCCACCATGAGCTTTACAGAACATTGTACTCCCCTGAGCACCTTTAGTACATGCAGGATACTGACAGCGACGACCACCTCCATGAGATATGCAGAGGCCAGATATTCCCTCAGCACTCTTCGTGCAATTTTCAATCATACACCTTTTGCCACCCCCATGATGAATGCACATGCCAGACTTACCTCTTGCAGCACGAGCACAGCCCTGCTGACTGCAGCGCCTACCACCACCATGACCTATACAGTATTCTGTACCGCCTTCAGCACTCTTAGTACACCCAAGATACTGGCAACGCCGACCGCCTCCATGTGCCTTACAGAAAACTGTCCTGCCTTCAGCTCCCTTTTGACAGCCTTCCCTCTGACACCTCCTGCCACCTCCATGGGCAATACAAAGACCAGAAGAACCTCTTGCTCCCTTGATGCATCCTTCAAACCTACAAGTTTTGCTGGTTCTATGCTGCTGTTGCTTAATAACTGACACAGAAGCACCGGAAACTGAGCATGGTGTTGTTGCCGGAGTTGATGCAACGTTTGGGGTCGTTGAAGTAGGATTGTCCCTGTAATGGACTTGATCCAAAGGAATGGAAGTCTCTAGATTCTGCAATGGAGACACAAGAGGCCCAGTTTTCCAACGAGACAATGTTGATCTTTCGTCCACAAATCGAAATGTGGAGGCTAATGCTGGTGACTTGGAATTATTCTGGTAAGGACTAAACAGTTGAGAAACAGTGGTGACATCAGATTCAGCGGGTCCAGTGGATAGACTCAATTCTAAGTCCATTTTAGGCTTCCTTACTTCAAGTGTGTTTGGAGCCCCAGCAGGTACCTTAGTTGGGTTGGATGTCCTGTCATCTCCTAGGTTGATGTTGATACTTAGACCAAGATCAATAGAAAACTCTTCCATTTCTTTCCCTGAGCATTTGGCAGTGTTGAAACTTGATGAACGATCTAATCCAAGAACCAGAGAAGATCCATCTTTCAAGTTAATATGCCCATTAACAGCATTCCGTTTCCTCTTGCTTCCGTTGGAATAACAGGAGCTTGAAACACCGGGTGAATTAAGATCCGGAGCAGCAAAGACCTGACAATTGACAAATTTGCATAGATCTTTTGACACAGAGGCTAAAGTAGAATCACAGTGGGTGGTGCTGTCCATGCACCGTTAACTCACACCTCGAGACAAACCAATGAATGAATGAAATTTAAAATTATGAAAATAAGAGATTGCTGGACTTCTGAGGTCTAAAGAAGAAAAGAGGGGAAATACTAATGAGTAAAGATCAAACTGTAGCTTCCAAAAATACGACAACATCCACCACTAACAAAACCTGAAGTGTCCTGACGATCCATTCTAAGATATGTGATACAATTTGAGCAAATCACAAACCAAAATATCAATTGGGAAACATCATCATCCATGCAGAACACTGGCCACTAGTCATCCTGTTCCAAGCAAATAAAATTCATTACTTGGAGTTAGTTTGCCAGATAAAAAGTAACATAACCTATATATAAATGAAAATCCTGTGAGCAGATTAAAGTAACTTTCTATCAATCAACACGACTCTTTGATGGCATTAACTCAGAAAGTGATCTATGGATATTATTCGAGACTGGCAGCAAGTCAAATGAATAGTAAGTGCGTAACTGTAAGCAGAATAAGGAAAAACTAAAGAAAGAACTAAGCATAAAAAAAATAAAACCATGATTTATCAATTTTGTATCAATAAATAAACATGTCTTCACTGCAAACACTCGTATTCTACAGGGAACGGAAATCGTTGTGACACCATAAGAACATGTTAATTAAAAAGGAAGAAAGACCACCAGAACTCAACTTAATCAATAAAGAACTTTCCCTAAATTCCAATTAAATGATTAAAAAGAAAGAATGTATACGTAGAATACGTTTAGATAATAAAATTGTATATCCTTTCTTAACTCTCTAATTCTGCTACAATTCAAACGAAGAGACCAAAATTATTTTAAACAAAGCTTAAATCATTGTTCAATTCATTGTTTTCAACTTAAATCAGAACAAAAAAGTAAACCACTTGCTGAAAATAAAGATCTTATACAATATAGTTAGTAGCGATTATATTTCCTAAATTAAATTCGGAATTACCTTCAGATTAAGGGAGTTTAAATGCGCAAGAGAACAATCAAATTCGTTGATGGATCGTACAGCGAAAACTAGGGTTTTGGAGTGCCAGCAAATCCGAAAGAAGCGTGAGAGAGAGAAATTGGTGGAGAAAAAAAAAAGAGAGATAATCGAGTGAGAATTCGGTTATTAGTAGAATCGCGGCGCACGTTAAATTGACGCATTTTCGATCCTCCGCATGCTCCCACTTTGCTTCCCGTACGTTCTCATTGGTCAACGCCTCCAACGACTTTTTTTTTATTCAATTAAAACTAAAAGGTAAATGCTACTCTTACAATTATGCTTCACAATCCATTACACAGTCTTTCAAATTTGCTGGCATGGCACGGATCCGATCCAGCAACAAAAAAAATAACTCGGCCCAGATTTCTCCCCTTATCAGCAATTTCGCACTTCCTCAACTCCAAGACAAAAGCCCCAAATTCCAAACTCCCTCCAAATCTCCCCGTCAAGCTTCCCGTCAATTCCAGCCATCGAAGAGTGCCCACCCGTCGTGTCCAGCAGTTGTGGTCTCCCCAATCGAAGACCTTGAAGCTCCCTGGTCATTTAATTGCTGCAGCCGTTGTCTTCTTGAATACCATTTGGAGCAGGAAGTGCGAGTCCAGGTCGTCTTTTTGAGCACCATTTGGAGAATTGGAGCTGGTATTTCCCTTCCTTTTTTGGGCATCTTGTGAGCACCATTTTTCCTTCTTTGTTAAGCTTTATTTCTTGCTTGGGGCAGTCGAACTGGTGGAGTAAAATGTCGTTTGATTTTGCTGTATAGTGTATAATTTTTTTCCAAGAATAGTCGGGTATGAGTTGTGTGTCGTAGATAAATTGGTTGAAGACAACATTCTTAAACTTACCAGTAGATAGCAAATGTTGCACAGAATTTACACAATCTGGTTTGTTTTTTGATTGCAGTTCGATATGTTACCTTTTCGTTCGATATGTTCATTCTGAATGTAATTAAACTGAATTTATGTGTGAATGTTTTTTGATTGCACTTAAATACGATTTTAACGCTTTGAAGCTAAAATATTGGTTTGCGTTTTATCTGAAAAAAGGGTTTGTATTATTATCATCTGTGCAGGGAATTGATATATATTGTTTGTACTTACTTGGTTTAAGACTACTATGATGGCAGGAAATAATAGGGTAATTTTTCATAGTTGTAGAGAGGTTGGTCATATGCTGTCGGAATACCTAAAAAAGAGAAGATGTGCAAATTGTGGTACGAGTTACACCAAATGGATGGAGGTCGAAAAGAACAATGAACATAAGGGGCTACTGTTTCATTGTTGTACCCGCGATTGCAAGTACTTCAAATGGTGTAAAAATGAGCCCAATGAAAAATGTCCATTGCATGATCACGGTGAATCTAGTGGCATTA